GTATTATATACGGAGTACTCTGGGTTTGTAAATTACTTACGTACCACAGGTTTTCTCCTGCGGGAAGCCTACCACCAAGACGGACAGAGTATTGGATCCACCGAGACAAAGTTTGATTTTCTTGATCGAACTCCTCTGGGTTTTGTTTGTTTCTGAGAGAAAGGCCGGCCGCCGGCCGGAAGAAGGGGATGTCTGGTCTGGGGTTTGTTTAATTTCTGAGAGAAAGGGAATTATTAAAGAAGCTAAGGAGGAGCTGAAGGTAGTATCTCATATATATAGTTGGAGGTAACAGATGAAAATGGGGTTCGCAAGAGTTCGACCACGCCGGCAACGGTCAAGTGGAGCGTCTAACAAACTTTGACTGGCTGTTTGATTTGGAGCTCAAATCCTCTGCATTGCAGGCAGGCAGTACTCAATTCACACTAAGCCTCTCCTTATCATAACCATGTTTATTATTCTTAATTGTAATTGTAATTTTAAAAACATTTTTTTTTAATCGATTGAGAACATTATCATCGATGAATTGGTCTTAGATACTAATACTCCGTAGTCCTTATTATATACTCCCTCCGGTTCTTATTAAAGTTCCCACTTTCCTTTTTGGGATGTCCCTTATTTAAGTTCACACTTCCATTTTAGGAAACAAAACAATGCAAAACAGTGCCAAACAGTGCCAAACAATGTCCAAACAATGCCAAACAGTGTCCAAACAGTGCCAAACAGTGCCAAACAGTGCACTCCACACTAAAGTCAAATTCATTTTCTTAATATGTGTGAAGTCAAACTGAGAATTTTAATATGAACCGGAGGGAGTACGTAGTAAAAAATACGGAATACTCTGTATTTGATCAGTTGGCTTACTTACTTGGCTTACTCTGTATATATACGAGTACATATAGGTATAGACGTATAGTAGAAGTTTTAAAACCAAATTCTTTCCGTAATCTTATTATACGACATATTAGAATGATCATTATTTGTGGATTTTTGTCTACAAGTGTATACATTATTTTTACACGATTTTTCCTTTTCAAAATAATGTAACATAATTTTCACAACATTTTAAAGAATATATTAGCTTGGTAAGACCAAATTTATTTCAAAAATGTAAATTTATGGTACGTGTTAATTGCATAATTTAAAATATTTTAAAATTCATGAAGACGCAATTAACATTCTAAACTTCCATTGCGAAATAAATAATGTTACCCCCAATCTATAAAATTGCAACACTTTTAATTTTCCTATTTTAAATTATGCAATTAACCCCATTAAATTACATTTTTGAAAGAAATATTACATGATAACGATGTGAAAATAATTTTTTATATAAAGTTTCGGGTATTTAAATTACATATGCAAATTTGGAGTGTTTACCTCACCCCTTCAAAGTTTGGGGTATTTTTATAACTTTTCCCTTATATTATTATAACTTTTTATTGGGATAAGAAATATGTATTTATCTAATTAAACAATACCTCAGATAACACATGTGTTATTCAACCATTTTCAAATAACTGAATGCAAGATGTGAAAATTAAACATATATATACCGTTGTTTAATAAATTTTTAAGTTAATTACCAGCAATAAAAAATGGTAAAAATGAAATTGAATTATTATGGATACAACATTTTGATTAAAATGACTAAACTACATTCATCAGCGCAAATTATACCGTATGACCGGTATATGGTGAGCACCGTATACCGGTATACGGATTTCTTTATTTTTTTCATTTTGTTTTTAAAAAATGGTAATAAATTTTTTATTTTTGATTCGATTTTTTAAAAAAATTCTATCAACATTTTTTATTTTTCATGATTTTTCAAATGAGACCAATATTGCTTATGTAATTTTAAGAAATTATCGAACTATTATATTAATGAGTATTGGATTATATGAAAATCAAACTAAATTTAATACAAAAAAATAATTGTGTAAATCACAATTTATCTTAAAATTGTGTATATAAAAAAATTATTGTAATATGTATTTATACACGTGAGTTACATATTTTTATGCGTAAAGTTACATATTTTTACACGTAAAGTTACATATATATACACACGAGTTGCATTTGGCCAGCCTGAACGCGAGTTACTTATTTTTACACGTAAAGTTACATATTTTTACATGGAAAGTTACATATTTTTACACGTAAAGTTACACATATATACACACGAGTTGCATTTTGCTTGCCTGAACACGAGTTACATATTTTTACACGTAAAGTTACATATTTTTACATGTAAAGTTACATATTTTTACACGTAAAGTTACATATATATACACACGAATTGCATTTGGCCTGCCTGAACGCGAGTTACATATTTTTACACGTAAAGTTACATATTTTTACATGTAAAGTTACATATTTATACACGCGAGTTACATATTTATACACACGAGTTGTATTTGACCTGTCTGAACGCGAGTTACATATTTTTACACGTAAAGTTACATATTTTTACACGTTAGATTACATATTTGTACACACGAGTTGCATTTGGCCTGACTGGACGTGAGTTACATATTTCTACAAGTAAAATTACACATTTTACATAGGTTAATATAATAGTTCGATATTATGTTAAAATTACATAGGCAATATTAGTCTCATTTGAAAGATCGTGAAAAATAAAAAATATGAGGCTATGAGGCTAATATAATGGGAAAAAAACCTAAATAATACTAAAACACATGAGTTTTTCCAAAATATGACTCCATGTTTTTTTTATCTTTCATTATGACTACGCACCTATGATTCCGGCGGTTATGCGCATGCAGTTATTAGTCCTACGGTTACAAACTACTCATACATTAGGAAAAATTAGCAAGTAGTCATAGATTGGTCATGACACTAAGTTTTAGTGATACGAGAGATAAATTTCTCTAATTATATACGGAGTATATCTCAAAACAAAAACAGAAAAGGCTAATATATATCTCAACACAAGTTCTGTTGTGACAATAATTACGGCTTGGAGAGAAAAACTTTTCAAATTCTTTTCAAACTTTTCAAAACTTTACTTGGACTGTAATTTGGTGGTCTGGTCTGGTCTGAACTGGTCTGATCTGGTCTGGTCTGGTTTCTTTGTATTTTTATAACTATCCAAGTCTGTTCTGGTCTGGTCTGGTCTGAACTGGTCTGGTCTGGGACGAATTACAGTCCAAGTAAAAACATCCTTATTCTTTATCCATATTTTATTTATATTCATTTTCGTTATTCATAGTAATAGAGATTTCAAAGCAGTTTTAGTATTAAATATAAATACAAATTATGTAGAATATTGAATATTTAATACGGATATTTCTATTATATTCTATGAAATTTTTTAAATATTAAATTAAATGTATCGTAGAAAAAGATTAAACTCAAATATAATATTATTAAATTTTATACATGTTTTTGCTTTGATATATGCAAAATTATAAAAAAAAAAAACAACGAAAAAGTTAACATTGCTAGCACTCAGATTTTTTTTTGAAACATTAAACTAATAGGAATTATTTTTGTGAAATGGTCGGTGTCGATCATACTAGTAGGAAACATTAAACATTAAACACTGCTAGTACATATTCCCTACTTGACCATTTCTGATTCCAAATGGTCAGTGTCGATCATGCATAAATTTGGGCCTGAGTCGAGAGTATCATAAAAAAGAGCCTTTATACGTAGTATTTATTTGAAATACAACATATTTCAAAATAAAAGAAATATATCACAAAAGTCAAAAACTCAAAACTTAAATACAAAGCACATAGTTTGATTAATTATGAATTGAAAATTTCGACAATCTTTAATCTTGATAACCTTGAATAAAAAATTGATTTCAATTCTCAAAACAAAAACAAATCACCAAGGCATGGCCTAGCTTAACAACTTCTTAAAACAAGCAAGAATCAACTTGCTTTTAATTTTTAAATAGTATCTTTAATGTAAATACTATATATCCCAATAAATAATAGAATAATTATTGCAATTAGAAAATATAAATTAATAAGTTAGTTCATCTGGTCATTCAAAAATCAATAATTTATCAAATTAGCAAATCAAAATAAAACCTAGATTTGTTTTTTGGAAATAACATATCAACAAATTTCAAAAGTTGGAGTTTGTACTTCACTACTTGGCTCATAACTTTGTGTTCCTCCAATATTTTTTTACGCGGATGATTTAAGCTAGGCAGTCAACATATTCTCTCTGTATTTTTATTTTGAATACATACATACATGCATACATGATACATCCACACACACATACACATACATATATACACACATATATACACACATACATATATACATGCATTTTTTCCTCAAAACACTATGAACTTTTACTATTACACTTTTTCTAAATTCACATTTTTAAAATAGAAGCAATCACAAACACGCCGACATTTTAGAATCTTTTTTAATAGTTTAAGATGTTAAGACACTTCGATGAGTTCGATCTCTTATACAAATGATGTGCATAATAGCATGGAATGCAGAGCTAGTGTCTTTTGTTGCCACAGATGAAACAGTTAGAAGTTAGAACTTAGAAGGCAGGTGGCAACAGACGAGTTAATGCTTGAGCCTTTCAAAAAGCAAGAACGCCTTCGTGTGATGGGGAGATGATAAAGCATATGAATAACTTATCATAACCATTTCAACTTGCACATTAATTATAGAAAGACAATGGCCTGCATTTCAGTTCCATGTACACCTGGATATGCATTACTTGTAGCCTTGTAGGGAATAAGGATGTCAATCATGTCATGAGCTATTTATTTCAGGATATAAGGTGTGTCTGGTCTCGATTCCCAAATGGATGGTTTTATTTATCTATTTATTATGCAATACCTGGTAGTACTCTAGAATCTGTTCTTCTTTCTTTTGTTTGAAGAGAACTTGTATCAAGATAAAAACTCTAAAATGATGATGAGTATGGCGATAACTTCAGATACAGATAGACAAAGAAATGGTATCACTAGTTAGAGCACGTTTAAACGTTTGGTTTTATAATAGACGATTGGAAAACTCTGTGTTTATAACATGTACATACAGACTTGAAAAGTACATGAGAAAAGAGATGAGGCAGCAAAAAGAATAATAAACTTGTGCATGTAAAGAGAATATACAACAGAGGATAAATGGAGATATGTAATATTATTGCTTCAGCCCCTCTAAATCCTCTAATAACGATCTTGGTTACAACCCATTTTTATTTATACATAATAGATCCCTAAGAGAGCCATTTAGATATTTAAATTCTACTCCTACGGTGGGTATAATAGTAACTATCAACATAGCGAAAAATATCTAATGGCATTTATTGGTAACGACCACCTGCGTTCCTCCGTCGTTCAAAAAAGGGCTACTCGCATCCTTGAACTACGGCATCATATACGCTTTAATTACAACTTCAATTCACTGGAACAACTCACCAAGCTCGTTGTTTACCAAATGATTTTACATTCTACCTTTGATGAAGATATACATTTGCTTCACATATCAATTCTCAAGTTGTTACAAAGATGGCCTAATTCAGGCCTGGCATCCATCCAGTCAGTAAATTTCATCTCACTAGCAGATGTGCAATACAGATAGGATCTAAACGCGATCAGAAAAAAATACCGCCTGAAATGAAAGAGGCGGGACTGTTATAAACCACAGGAATGGTTTTCACCAAGCGTAGTGAAAGCTACTTTGAGTAATGCATGCAATCAAAAGTCTGGCTAAGCAAAATGCCCAAAGGGTTCACACTTAACACCTTAGAGAAAAAGGAACTACTTCCATGTAATGGTAGCAGAGTATATTACTACATATAAGGTAACTCAGTGATCTTGAGACTGACCTTAGAGCTCTAATTCCCATATCCATGAGGTATGCTCGATGTTCGTCATCAACATCACTGGGAAACTTTTTAAGTTCTGTTGCGAAGTGAACAATATCTTCTCGTAAATGTCCGGCACCAGCACACCTATAGAAGAGTTGGTATATAACACAAGATGAAAATTTGAAGACAAGCAAGTGTCATTACTCATTAGCATCATGATATTCTCTGTTACCGTACACACGTGTGTGGGCATTATAGTACAAATTTTATCATCTCAACCCCACTTCCCCTTTTCATTTCAGTTCAACCTTTTAATTAGACAAGACTTATTACATAATCTAAATATATATATACGGTATCCCAAACACTAGATTTAGAGGGATTATTAATTCATTCCTCTTTAATGCTGAACCAAACGGATACTAAGAGCTCTTGTCCAACTTTTCTACTCGACTAAGCCTCAGTTTCATGGTGCCAATTCGGATCCACTTTAAACTTTGATTTCATTGTCAACCAGATAACATATAATTCTAATAGTTGGAGGTCCTGTAAAAAGAATGCAAAGATGTTATACAGATTGTATACATAGACCAAAATGTCAGACTGATGGTTGGAGAGGGAGAGCTATTTGATGATCCAAAGCGGCATATAATACTAGTTTCAAAATCAAACTATCTTACAATCACACAACCATTTCTTCCCAGGCAGTGTAGTTAGTCAGTTCTTGGAGGCTCCTACAATAGCTGCCTGGGAAGCAGCAACTCAAGTTGTCAAGAACGGGAATTTTATATGCTAAATTGCTGATTCTTGAAATACTCACACCGAGGCCTTTTTGTTGCTGACTGGGACAGGAACCGCCAAGTGATAGAAGGTCAACTACAGCATACTGTATTTTTAGAGGAAATTTAGTTTCGTGGAAAAAAGAAGAAGCAAGAAGCGATATGTAGTTGGAGGGTCTATGGCCCAAACAACATTTAAATGGGTGTGGATGCATAGCTTATTACAGGAGACTGACACAAAGTTTCATTTGCTAATCACATTTTAACCAGTGAGCTATCCATGTCGGAAGTGGTCCAATGTTCCACGAGCGTATAGAGCATATTCAGGTAGATTGAAGTTCACACGTGAAAAGATCCAGTTAGGACTAATTTCTATATCCATGTAGTTATGTCCCAACTGCTGATCAACTCATAGATTTACTTAAAGAGAGACTCACAAAAAAACCGGGTTGATTATGTTTGTAAAAAAACTAGGCATGACCGAAATTGTTTGCTCCAGCTTGAGGGAGGATGTTGTGTTATATTCATACTTGTCACGGCGGTAAGGCGAGTCGCAGCGCCAGCCGACTGCCATATTGCCTAGGCAACAAGGCGCCCACCTAGGCAACAATTAGGCGACTAGTTGCACATTGTATAATATATTATATGTAATTGAGTAATTAACTATATTTAATTTGTAATTTATTATATATTATATACTGTGTAACATATTACTAATTAAATTGTATGTTACCTAGAATTCAAACCAACGATTAATAATTGAAAGCAAGGTTTATTAATGGGAATAAAAATGATCTAAAAAGTTAAACTGCATAAAGTATGTATATCATACATTTGTATATGTAATTATATACGCCGTATATAATACATAGTAGTTTTTATTAATAGTTAATAGTTTGATTAAATTAATATATACAATTCTACTGTAAATTGTACCGAGCATAACCAAGCATTCCAGTCCAGCTGGTTGTGAGGTTACCGTGCCTAGTGGGAGGTCTCGAGTTCGAAACCCACTAGGCACATAAGGGTTTGAAACTCAATGGAGTAAGTTTCAACCGTGATTACTCCAGGGCCCCCCAGCGGCCCAGCCCAGCCCCCTGGAGTAATATATATATATATATATATATATATATATATATATAGATATAGATATATATCTATATATATAGATATATATATATATATATATCTATATATATATACATATATATATATGTACCGAGCATATCAGCAGATGCTCTGAGCCTCTGATTGTTGCGTGTGTATATAATATACTAGTATTATAATATATATATAGGAAATGATTCAAATAAAAAGAGGTCTTAACGTGCAAAGTGAAAAGTTTACACTTTTTCACGTTTCGCTTGCACTTTTTCTTGCTTTCGTTGCACTTTTTCACGATAGCTCAAAAAAATTGGTTTATTTACAAAACTGCCACCGTCATTTTGGCCGAATTTGGCCAAAATCAAAATAGGCAAAAAGTGCAACGCAAACAACAAAAAGTGCAAGCGAAACATGAAAAAGTGAAACTTTGCACTTTGCACGGAAAGATCACTTTTCATTTGAACTCTTCCCTATATATATATATGTGTATATATAGTATATACACACGATTACATATGTATAAAAATATACAGCTTAATTAAAAAGAAAACTAAATCGGCTAGACTAGAAAAATTGGATAGAGAGTGGTAGTTATTCTGCTTTTCCTGTGAGTTTGTGTCTCTGCTTCTGGAGTTAGACGATCTCTTCGAAGTTGAATGATGTCAATCGATTAAGTGTAAGATTACTTTGGGCTTTGTTTTTAATTAAAAGCCTAAAATCTTAGTTAATTTAATTACTTTCCTAATCTATTCTTTTTTTCCGGGCCTGCGGCTGCGAGCTATCTTTTGTTTAAAACCAAAAATCGGCGACGCCTTATCGCCAAACCACGCCTGGGCGATGCCTAGACGACACCTAGGTTGCCTATTCTTCTTCTAGCGAGGCGAGGCAACCCGGCGACCAATCCTTAGCGCCAGGACGCCTAGTCGCCGACTAGGCGACACCATGACAAGTATGGTTATATTACATTACCCCTAGTTAACGAGGAATAGTGCAGTAGTGCGAAGACAACTAAGAGCCGGTTTGGTAATACCAAAATCTGCTGAATCAACTGATTCTGCTGAAATTTATGAAATTCTGGCTGAAGTGGCTGAATTGGTCGATTCTGCTGATTTATTTAACAATAGTATTCAAAATATATTTTATTAATAAAATAAAGAAAAAATTATATGTAAAAACAGCTAAAATGGTCCTCTACAATAACTTCAGCCAATAAAGCCGGAAATAACTTCAACCTTACTTTTTCTTATTATTACGCAATTCAACGCGCGAGATCAAAAGTGACGTGTTTGGTGAAAAAGTTGGCTGATAAGCCTGATAAGCCAAAAAATTGGCCTACCAAACGGGCACTAAATATAATGTATTTGTAATAGGTTCATGGTGTGAAATACACGAGATATTATATTACAACTTTCTTAAATATCAAATATGAATCTCTTCCGTAATAAAAAGGCATAGCCTCTAAAGAGATACTCCCTCCGTCCCAATTTGATTTGCAAAATTTCCTATTTTGGTTGTCCCAATATGGTTTTGCACTTTCTATTTTAGGTATGTAGATAAGAATAAAGTGACAAATTTACCCTTACTTTTACTTTTTTCCATTAACTTAAAGACATCTACTTTTAGGAAGATGGACAAAAGTGTAAAAACCAAGCATCATTTATTGTTCTACCTTAATCCTTGTGCCAGTCAAAGTTTGCAATTCAATTCGGGATGGAGGGAGTACATGTTCTTTTTTTACCAAGTTTTGTCCATTTTCCACACTAGATTTTATGTTTTATTGTAGTAACAGTTGGCTCTAATTGTCAAGCGATTATCCACGTCAAATCAGACTTTTTAATATGGGACCCATTCAATCTACACGAGATTCAAATTAGCACTCAGATTTCAAGATTAACCTGCTCCAATGAGCAAAAATCTTGATGGACATATTAAAGGATCAATCTACATTGAAAATGTCATAGGCTACTCCTCCTAACAAGTTTTACCTTTTAGGAAAAAACCTCAAGTCTTAACACCCATTATTAAACAACTATGTTGGTCTTTCCATATCGAATAAGTTATAAGCTACTCCTAATGAGTAAATCTTTAGGGACGAAACCTGATAGAGCCCTGGGCTGTAGAGAATAATAATTGTAGCAACAGATTGATATTAAATAATTTTGGTAGTTAAAAATAAGGGGTTATGGGATGACCCTTTAGAATAGAATTAGTATAAGAGTGGGAGGAAGGAAAGGAGGAAGGTAGGCAGAAATTGGGACTGGGATTTGGGAGTGTGAGACTACTCGAAGTGTCTCACTGTATTTCTGTTTCTTTTCTTTCTTATACGCTAGCTACGGTTTCTGCCATTGCAAGTGCTTCAGGAATTCGGAGATTTCTCTGAGTTCTTTACTTTATCTACACGAATTGTCTGGTTCCTATCAAAACCTCAAGTATTAAGACTAGTTATCTAAACGAACTGTGGTTGTTTGAAATTTACTATGCTACATTGGTATGATAGCTTGACCCAAGATTCTATTACAGAGTGGTATGTTGTAGAAACTAGAAAACTCTGGGAGTATACTGATGCCAGCAAATGAACCAATTGACAGACCCTGGTCTATTACCAATCCCAAAACAAGACTGTGCTAGACCCTTTTCGCTTTTCACCTAGATAATAAGACAGTAATTGTTGGGTTCTTTTGGAATTACCTTTCTATGACATCGTCTACGTCTCCCTTGCTCTCTGGACCATGCACAAGAACTCTAGTTAGGCTTAATATGTCTCGGTAATCGCCCATTTTGCATGTTTCATCATCAAAAAGTTTGGAAGCTAGATTCCCAACAGGTGGGGGGAATGAATGAGCTTTATCAACCAATGATCTGGGCATATGTGAGGTTCGATTTGTTTCTGCATCAAGTCGTAAACAAATAATAGCCATTGCATAAGCGATCCCTCCAAATCCGGTATGGGATACAAAAAGGTAGGACCCTGCTAACCTGTTCAAAAGGGAATGAAAAGAAAACAATAAAATTTAGTCAAGTTTCCAAGACAACATTTTTCAGTGAATTGATAAAGAAAATGTCATTCCAAATAGATGTGAAATGAAGAACTCAATTAAAAAAATCTAATTCAATTAATTATACGTAGGAGATAAACACTGTGTTTTCCCTGTAAAAACATGGACTCTTCTATTTCTTCTAAGACTGTCAATGCTTCATGAAGCCATGAAGGGCATCCAGTGTAAAACTGCCACTGTTTTTGCATGAAGTTATAGTGTTAACTAACTTAACAATTAATTAACAATATATATTTCATGTCACCTACCTCAACATACCCAAGGCCCAAAAAACCCTGTGAGTGTGAATAAGAAGTATATCACTTCCTTCCCAATTCGATACAAATGAAACCAGTCTACAACTTGGAGCATATGTAAAAAACTCTAAAAACCTAATGTATTTAGCTACTTCAACTAGGTGAAGTTTGTAATTTTTTTATTAAAGTTGTTTAGAATCATTGAGCACACTTTGAAATTCACACGCTTCTACCTTGCAAGTTTTTGAACTTAGTATAGACAAACTGCAGTACTACTATATGAAAGCAAAGTTATAATGCATAGGTTAAAGTTCACAAACACATTCATAGAAAATAAATCACTTCAAGATATTTATTGATTCTTACTCATCCTTGCAATATTGGATAGCATCGACATCATAAGCCAATGCTTCTCTTTCTCTCGTTAAAGGTATCCTCTGGTAGGTTATGTTATATCCTTCGCTCTTCAAACTAGCGTATACCTCAGTAGGAGTCTTCACGTCATCTATGAATATGTTCTCCCAATACCCTATGATGCTAACTTGGTTAAGCGTCGGATTGTATTCTTCACGATGTAAAAGCATCCGGCCACCAGATTGCTTTTTTCCAGAGATAATGTCTTCTTTTGATCGTGCTCGGCCACCAGATTGCTTTATCTCAGTAATAATATCTTCCTTTAATCGTGCTTCCATGTGTTCCACCTGTTGAAGGGTGAAAAAGAAGCTACATGACATAATTCAGTTTTTAATGTAGCTAACTACAAGGCATAATATGCAGAGTACATCTGTACATATACACAAACAACAAGACTTAACAATAAGAATATGACGAGTCAAAGGAAAAAGCGTATGCCGAATGTCTACTAAATCTCTAAAGCTAAAGCACATGCATAACATATATGATGTGTCACCCTAATCGGTAATAAGTCAAGTCTATTATATCCTTAATCAATACTAATAGGAAGTTATTCGCGTACTTAGAAATACCATATCATTTATTCATATCTAACTAGATACTAGAGCTCTTTGATTTTGTCATATTCTTTTTACATCATAGAGGGATGAAACTGGTGCTTTGGTCATCTTGGTGGATGGCAGAGATGGTCCATCATTGATAGCAGCTGTCCAGTAAAAGATGTTGCTGACAGAAATATATTTACTGGCGGAGGCCATAATCTAAGACTGCTAATTATTTCCAAAAATAGAAATGAGAAACTTTAATTGAGGTGTCCAAAAAAGGAAAGTGAGAACCTTAAGCAGGACTGGGACGGAGGGAACACAAAACTAATATTCCCTCTGCATTGAAATGTTTGCTATACTTTCCTTTTTGGGAAGTATTTTAATTTTTGCTTCACTTTCACTTTTGGTGAGTTTTCCCTTTAAAAATACTCAATTACCTTGCTTTTTCTATTGGGAAAAGGGTCAGATAGGTCCTCGAACTTACATAAAAAAGTCAAATAAGTCCTTATATAAGAGGTTCTGTCCGGCCGTCGCCATTTGAGTTGGTTCCCGGTGGATTTTTTTTAAATTTTTTTTTGAGCATCTTATTGATTATTTCTAGTTTACTCATACCAAATTTCAGCTAAAAATTCAATCGGGAAGACATTCAAATGAATTCTTGAAGATAACTGCGCTTTTAACTGCGCGGTTATCTTCAAGAATTCATTTGAATGTCTTCCCGATTGAATTTTTAACTGAAATTTGATGAGTAAACTAGACTTAATGAATAAGATGCTCAAAACAATTCATCAAAAAATTCCACCGGGAACCGCCCCAAATGGCGACGGCCGGACAGAGCCTCCTAAATAAGGACTTATTTGACTTTTTTATGTAAGTTCGAGGATCTATCTGACTCTTTTCCCTTTTCTATTTTTTATCTCCTCGTTCATACTTTTGCACCCTCTCTCCTACTTTTTCTACACTACCTATTACCCCTACTACTTTTCCCTTAAACATTGTGCCGAACCCTTTTGTAGCATACTTGTCAATACAGAGTAAAATAATATTTCAAAATATTGTAAAACTAATTAAGAAAGATGCAATATATTCTAAAACTGTTTTAAAATAATTTAATAATTTCAAAACTAAAGCAGTAAATATAGTAAAATATTATCAATAGTTTTAAAATTATTAAATCATTTTTAGAATGTATTCTTGCACTTCTCATATAATAAGATTTTATTATACAAACTTTGATATTTATATATGCTTTTTCAAAATAGAAAGTATAAACTTTTAGGTTTTATAAAGATTTTCTACCCCTCCCCATCTATGGGTAGTGCATATTTAATTCGTTAATATTAAGAACGCTGACGTGATAGACAAATGTACACTTATCGTAAATCCACTTGGAGGTGACATGGATATATATCACCCACATTATGAAAATTGGTTGAAATTTTCTTTTGATATAACATTGAAAAAGTATTAGAGACTTGTGGTACCATTTGAAACAAAGTATAGGGTTGGTGGGTACTGATTTCATGTGTCATAGCTTTCAAGCCTAAGCTAAAACTTTCATTCCCATATATCCTCTTATTTAACACAACACAGCATACTGCAGCAAATGGGAGAATACATCACCGTGACTTTTCATAGAATTTCCAGATAACTTATGGGAGCCATGAGCACTAGGTTTAATATCAGGTTAGAGAATTATCAACAGAAAAGCTCACACTTGGTTCATGAGACTAGAGCAACGGCAATATGGTGACGTGTAAATGTAAAAATGTTTATTGTGACACAAAACACAGGGCTACTCTTACTGCACACTGTCAAAATGTCTACAATCTATAATTTCAATAACCATTAAAGAAGAACTTCAGATCTAGGGAATATTTCATGTAACTTCAAGCCTCAAAATTGTGGCTTTAATACCGTGTTTATAAGTAAAGAAGAATGGGGTTTATTTTGACATACAGTATGCCCACGATGAAATACACAAGTACTACCCAAAAAAGGAATATGAAAACCCAAAATACAAACCGCATGCTTAATGTTTCATAAACCGGAAATAGTTAAAACACAAGCATAAAGTGTGTGATATTTTATAGCAATCATACCAATGAGCCCGTAATTCCGACATGCTTGAGGGTATCCACAGGCTTATTCAGTTCTCTGAGCACAAATGGAGTACCATTGATATAAACTACAGCTTCTTCCCTAAGATCTGTTATAACAACTCTGTCAGTAGCGCTTTCTTCTATCCTAGGCGTTGCACCCATGTAAGTTAGCATCTCTTTGGCACCAGCAATTGTTGGAGTTGCCATGCTATACACAGGATGCTTATCCACCTGAAACAGTAAGTTTTCAGCTAGTAGCTTCATATCACCGACAAACATGAAAAGGACCTAACAATTTCACATAATGCATAATTTCCATACACAAATTAGTAACTGTTGAAATACTAACACAACACTCTTATTAGAATCATATTTGCATTTTGCAACGCTTTTTCTGTTAACATAACACCAAGCACACTCCTAAACACATACCATACACTTTCTTATATAGATTACATGAGGCCTTAATAGTAACTCACCAAGTACTTAGCGATTTTCACTACTCTGTGACGAGGTTGACTCGCCGAGTTACTCGGCAGCCAGTAAATTGATTTTTCTGGGGTGAAATCTGAAAATTTTAAATTAAATTCGGATATTATGGAATTTATGAATAATTAGTAGGTATTTTAGAAATTGGAAAATAACATTATAGAGTCAGTCTGGGTTTGGGGACATAGAGGATGAAGAAGAAAATGACAATCCTAAACCCAATGAAGATTAATTTCGTACAAAAGTTCAGAATTAAGAATTACTCCATATTAGGGGATTGATTTTCGTGGAAGTTGAAATATTTATGATTGTTTTGATTTTTTGCTATTTCATTATTAGGATTACTATTATTTTATTCATATTTAAAAATTATAAGACTAATATTTTACTAGAGCTTTGGGCATTTATGTTTTTAAATTTAAATGATACGGGGCCGAGCAAATGAGCAATCGCCGAGTAATCTCGAGTAATTGGCCCTACTTGTTACTTGGCCCTTGACCGAGTTGCCTGTGAGTATTGATTTAACTACTTAGACCCTCTACACACCCTCTTTTGGTTGTATCCGTCTGCCCGTTTCTATTTATATCGAAAAGGCATAGTATGCTCTTATTACAAAAACAACTCATAAATGGAATAAGCTATCCTCATAAATCTAAATAAACTCTTTTCTTTTAGGCAAGTAAAGTACTGCGCTAGAAGGTCCCCATGAGCGTAATAAAAAATCACCAAACGTTGCGCATGTAAATTTATCTTCTAAATACAGTCTAAAAATATGCAGTGCATCTCATGAGTACCTTGAAAACATGTGGTGCACCATGGATTTGTATGTGACTTGAAGTTCTCTGACCAGGAAAGAAATACATCTTCAGAATAGACCCTTTTCCCAGAACTGAACCTTTACGATCTTTTACAATAGCCTCCATGACAGCATCTCCATGCTGCAACTCATGTGGAGTTCTTAGTTCCTCCTGCAAGTAAAAGTACAACAAAGTAATATATAAAAAAGAAACATAAAACTGGAGAAACCTTATGAACAGACATCAGAAACTATGAGTAAAGCTTACAACGTACAGGGATTGTAAAGAAGCGCCCAGGCCTCAATCTAAGAGACCACTTCATAGATTGAACCTCTGGCCTCTGTTGCAACCAATGCTTAAATGTTGTCTTGGATTCTCCTTGCCCACAGAATCCATCAAAAGCGTCACTCCCAACATATGCTGCAAAAGCAATCAAATGAAAGTAGCGCTCTAGATACTCAGCACCACGGTTCAGTGCCACTCTTCTTTCCCTAGGCTCAGTATGCTGCTGGTTAAACAACCTTCTGTACTGCAAGACAGCTTGGCGTATATTCTGCAGAGCAGAACATCTATCAATAATTGCATCTAAGGCCTCTCGGCATTCCACCCCATTGTCAAATAGCCTGGTTATCTTGCATAACAACAGGATGTCATTTATCCCAAATTCATGAGATGAACCTTTCTTAGGCCTTGTTTTTAAAACAAACGGTGCAGATGAAGGAGCAAGACCATCACTTTCATCAGCACTTGAAATATCACTAAATTCCTCATGCAATGCATCATTTAATACTCTGATGGGTCTCCCACAGTCAATGCGCAGTTTCAAAAGGCAGGCAATTACAGTCCCAGTGGTTGTCCTTCCTATCCCCATCTGAGAAGAGGGTTCAGAGGTGAGAAAGTAAATATTGGAAAGATAATGCATATTTATGTGTATTAAGTATGTACATAGAGCGCGCGCATACATATGCATACAGATAGAGAACACGAGATGGGTTTTGCCCATACGGCCATACTAACAAGGCCAAAGCTAGGGTAAGGTTACAAACATAATATTGACCAAATTTCAAAAACCTGGCCTCAAGCTGGAGCATACAAAGGCATAAAAATCATATGAACAGAGTATTATATATATGTATATATTCTACTCTAGGAGCTCCAAGAAACTTGGTAAGAATATCAACCTCTTGATCATCATAATTAATGTATATAGTAGTAATGCACCTAGACATGACGTTCTCCATGATGAAATAAGAATCAATTTACATATGCTTAATCCTATAATGATACATCATACACCAGGTTCGAAGCAATCATAGTGTTGCCTAATTATCAAGTATTAATGCTATTAGTTCATACTATAATCTATGGAGTATGGTCTTTCACTGTATAACCTCACAATATCTTATCACCACTAAAAAGATAAAATCAAAATACACTGGGGTCTTGTCCATTACACTTAGAGCCGATCAATTTCCTGTAAGTATTAGTCATGAAGTTGTAAGTCAAAATACATTTGAATACTAGTTGTAGTTTTTTACTCAACAATTATATATTTATACCATTACTTTCTCTCTAGTGGCTAGGATTGCCCTTCCTTGTTTAATCATATTAATCGATGCAATGCATCATTTGCCATTATCAGTTGGATATTTGGATCACTTTTTTTAGATTGATTCTGTTTCTTCCACAAGTATTTAGAATGAGATTGGAGAAGCATGGCTGCATGAGGGACATGCTTCTCCAAAACATTTGTATATTTTTTTTCCAAAACGCTATTTGCAAAAAATGATATATACTCCCTCCTTCATGAAATTATTGCTCACTTTGATGGGGGCACATGATATAGAAAAATGTAGAATGTTGGATTGAGATTTATTTAGAAGAGAAAGAAATATTATGAATCACGTGCTACTTTTTATCAAAAGAATAAGGGTGATAGTCTTTGGAATGGACAAAAAAGCAATGGAAAATAATTTAGGAATAGAGGGAGTATAACACGCACATATGTATATACATATATACTATGATCCTATTTATTTGCCTATGTTGATCTAATTTCATTGTTTCTTTTTATCTGTCTATTTTTGAAATCTATGTTAATTAAAAGAATCAAATTTACCCTTCTTGTACTATTCAAATTACCACTTCCCGAGAGAAACAAAGTTGGGTAGGCTTTTAATGAGGTAATTTAGGTAAAGTATTAGAAGCTTATATTAAGTTATCACCCTAATATCCGAGAAAGACCATACAGATTTATAGTAAAGAAAGAAATTCTTGGGCATTATCAATGCGCAAAATATGAATTTGCCAACCTGGGTTTGTATGTCAGCATAATATCGTTAAATTTTGAAACAATTCATAACACTTTCATATGAAAACCCAAAGTAACAAAATCTCAATGTAGAATTTAACAATATAGGAACACCAAACATGAGTGTGAACTAAAACGGATCTAATGGATGCTTGCCGATCATCGACTCTCCTTGACAACAATTAGTTAGGTTTCACTTCAAGGACATGTGACTCACCAAAAACAGTTTGCCATGTTTCTTGCATGTTCATCATATGTCTCCGCAATGACCTTAAGTTTTATTTAATTCTTCTTGTAAATCTTATACCTGACGGTCCGACCAAGAAAGACAGGCATATCCCATGACATTGTGTTGAATAACATTTGTATAGGAACACAAGTCGTAACACGTCTCATACACCAAACAACTTTGTTTGCAATCAACAGACTGTCATACTATTGCCCATGGATGCATCCACCTTTTACTATAACCTTCCGACCTGTAATATACTAATATCCTTCAATTTTTTTCGCCACACCTCAGTAATATACTGATAATATCCTTCAACGTTTTCGGCAAGTGATCAAACTGGCATTGGCCTTTGAACCAAGGTTCAATGACAACAATCCAAGATGGAAAGTTTTCGCTTTCCAATAACTTATGCATGGTGATCGCATGAAAGAGGGTATACAGAAGAGTAAAACATCCCATAGCAGCGAGCAAAGACGAGCATGCCCCCAGAACCCGTGGAAGGGTACGAGCAAGCTAGTGGCAACAAGGTTAGATTCTTCCTGGGAGAAGGAGATTTGTCCCAGACCGTAGAAGTTGTGGTAGCAGCCAGCACGGGAGACAAGCTCCAGGAGTGTAGGGTTGTTCCCAGCATAGTGGTGAGATCAGAAGAAGAACCCCACCACGGAAAAGAGGAACGCATAAGGAGTGCAATAGAGATGAAAGTTTTACAGAGGGCATGTGTTCATACACAACTATAAACTAGTGCACAACAGAAGATAGGTTGGGGCCATAATAATCATGGAGATGCTAGGTTAGGGTTGCAGCATATTCATGATATTCAATGAGAAAAAAGGTGATCTCTGAAGGATCTAGAAAAAAGTGCATACCCAGTGCCGAAGCTCCAACCAATTGGGGGTCTGGAGAAGGAAACTTCTTGGCAGTCTTACCCCTGCTTATGGCAGAGGCTGATTTCAGCCTGCGACCTCTAGGACACAATGGAGAGGCTCAACCATTGCACCAGGCCCAACCTTCAAAAAAGGTTACGCTTTTTCAAAGCTCCCATCAGTGTGGGATCTAAAGATACTAAAAAGCAATAAATATCTAGCACTTGGTGCCCAAAATGGCTGAAAAATCAAAAACTAAAACGCTGAAGTATTAATGCATCCAAGGATCTAAGATCATATTACCTGACAATTAAAGACAAGAGCAGTATCATTCGAAGCAGATGCAATATTCACTGCCAACGTGTCAAAGTCAGAACTTTTTGGAGCCTTTCCATCGGTAATAGGAACACGGGCATACTTGATTGGGAACCCCTCAGCCTCCAGACACTTAAAGACCTCTAATGGGGTCTGAATTGAATCAGAGCTCACATGCTCCCAAGCATCAAATATTTTCCCATCAGCTGTCTCATGAATAACCATTATAGCACCATTGTAATGTTCAGCTTCTCGCATAATATCGTCTTTCAATCGAGCTTCCATTCTTTCTACTCTTTCACAATCAATTCCCTATAAATTGAATTAATGCACATAGAACTGTGATGTTAAAACAAAGCACACGCATACCTGATAAAATTTAGAAAGTGTAGTTGTAACATTAAAAAATAAATAAACCATAGACCTAAAATATGCCATAAAATTAGAAAACAACAGTATCAACACAAGAAGGATAAAAGATAAAGACAAGAATAATTCGGAAGTAACTGTTATCAGTAATCACAATTGCTTCACTTGATTCCAAGGGAAAGCAAAAAAACATAATGAAATGGTTACATAATTGCACCCAGCAAGCAAGGCTCCTGTGTGCAATTTAGCATCATATAGATCCTGTTAAAAATATTGTTATGCAACCTTAATTATTTAAGCATGGTTTCTAGAGCTTGACCCCACGATTCATATATGAACAGCAGTTCACTTGGCAATAGCACAGGTCATTGCCCATCTTTGAAAAAAGAAAGGGTTATGCTGACATATCAAGTCCCACACCATATGCAAGTTAGCGAGTATTAAGAGCTACACCAAGGATGCTCTTAAACATGTGTGTGGGTGAGAAACAAAATTAATGGTTGCCATGTAGCCAACGATCTCTATGACATGGAGCATGCACTAGCACATGAATATCCCCTAGAACTATACTTATCAAGATATCAACAAGCAGATTTGTACCGTATATTCCAGCATATTCTTGTAGGGCCTTTCAGCCTCCCGGAGCACAAAAGGCTTCCCATTGATGTATATAACAGGCTCTTCTCTCATATTATGCCAAAATACTGGACGGCCACCTTTGCAGCTACCAATCCTTTGAATGACAGATAGAATCCCACTTACAGTTGGATTTGCAACACCATAGACTGGAAATCCAGGAACTTCCCTGAAATTAGGAGCACCCTCCAACCGTTCTGGCAAGCTTGGATGGTGGCAACGAGGACAATGGTCGCTCTTAAGAACAGTTTGACTTCCAAGAACCTCTCCCCTCCTTAAAGCAGCAACTTGGCCCATTTCAGAAGGGCGGTTATTGGTGGACTCCACATCTTTAGCTGGCGAAGGTTCCAAGCTTACATAGCCTAGTGCACCCATTGGATCTCTTCTAAGCAATCTGCAGAGAGACAAATTCTGAGAATTGTTACAATGAAGTGTGCCTAATCCACTGATGCATTCATGGACTCATGGAGCACGAGTAATGTCCACAAATTGAAGGAGTTGCTTTCCTAAATTCTTTGATTCAATTAGTTTCATTTTTGGGAGTAAGGCTTGGATGTTGTTGTTGTAATTAGTTTCATGTTTCATCACGATTAACATGATTCTCTAATTTCTAATATTTGGTGGTCTGGTGGATAGTCTAAGTTTCTGTATTACATTACATTTGTATACCTTTATAAAGGAAAACATCCTGTAAGAATAAAAATGTTAGAATTGAATAAAAAATTATTCTAAAACATTTTCTTCCTCCAATTCTCTTCCCTTACTTCCGTTGTTCTTATTTAGTTGCAATAGTTTGACCGTGAATATACGTAGTATTTAATTAGTTATTAGTTATTAGTAAAAATTATAAATTTCATATTTTGGAATTTTACATTGAGACAAATTTCAAATGTTTCTGCAAAATGATTTTATAATGCACTAATCATTAATGTGGTCAAAGTAGAGTAAAAGGAAAGGTGGATCTTGAAGCATGCAGAGTAGGCATTCATCTTACCTACGAAGTATACTATACAATTCTGGCCTAGCTCTCATCCAATCAGTAAAACTGCTCCAGCCAGAAGATCTAGGGTGAAGTGCTTCTCGTTCTGTGTGGAGATATACGGCAAAGCAAATAAGAAAGTAATATCTTTCTAAATATTCCACAAAAAAGGAAAGCGCTGCTGCTTTCTTCATCTCATCAGGCTGGCGCAAAATGCTATTCCGATACGAAGCAATAGCTTCACGTAAGTTCTGCAAATGAGATGATCCATATATTATCAGTCACTAATTGACTTGCATATCAAAGAGTTTCTATGTTTTAACAATAGAATCAGATAGCAATTGATACCACACTTGAACTAGGGGGATTGGAATCACATCACACAGTTCTAAATTAATCATGTAAGAAGTAAACTTCATTGAAAGCTATAACCCATTCTAAACAGCTACACTTTGAGGATACCCCTACCTGCATTGAGGCGCATCTATCAATGACTTTATCCACTTGCTTTTTGCCTTCAATGCCACCCTGAAAAAATAATTCTAATCAGCATAATCATATAAGATTAGTTATTAAAAACATGGATATTAAAGCTTAGGAGGTTTTCAGACCTCCAAAACTCTAATCAAGCTTCTAATAACTGTATATTCTCCTCTAAGAATCGCATCCTCTGTGTTGGTCATTGTATCATTAGCACTGGTGCCACAGCTAGACACTCTGCCAGTAGAATTTGTCCTTGGGATTCCTGTTAATCCGCATATATCAAGTATGGAATCATGCTTAAATTGTTTAACTTAACTAAAGATACGAGCAAAGTTGACAATATCAGGGATTTCTAACTATACAACTATAGTTATATCTCTCTTTTTTCTTACCCACTCCTTATCCTTAATACAAAAAAGGAAGTAAATTGTAGACCTTGAAAGATATAAAAACTATCTGGCATGCTAATCAAGAAACAAAACTTTGTAGGAACATATAGACAATACAAGTTCAATAAAACCCTAGCATGGACATCTCAGGTCAAATTTGAGTCTCATCTACTAGCTATATAAGATTATTCTATTCAAGATAGCAACAGAACCATAGAGAATAGAGAACTAATTGAAGAAACATTGCTCAGATAACAAGGGAAGGAACATCGAATTGCACCGAAACTATCGTTGCATTCTCACTTAATACATTTGTACTAACAAAGGGGATCGATAATACAGGAAATCAACACTGTCGAACCTAAAAATAGCAGTTGCAAAAAGAGACATGATGTGATTGAGGAACAGAAAAGAGAGGATCCCTAAGGTGGATCATCCTGTAAAACTACAAACCTCCAAATATTTACAAATTTACATACAAGTTTTGCTCAATCTAAAACTATCCCTAAGTCCATAACGAATGACTAAGGTTCTTTTTTAACATCCACTATAATCCCTGTAACCAAGCATTCCAGCTCAGCTGGTTGTGAGGTTACCGTGTCTAGTGGGAGGTCTCGAGTTCGAAACCCGCTAGGCACATAAGGGTTTGAAACTCAATGGAGTGAGTTTCAGCCCTGATTACTCTAGGCCCCCCAGCCCCCCTCCCCCAGAACCACTGGAGTAAAAAAAAATCCAGTATAATCCCTGTAATCCCTTTATATTATATGCATGTTGGTCTGGTAATGAAAAATTTTCAAACATGTCATCTCTTGTAACCTTCATTCATTTCTGCATGATTTCCTCTTGAATATATATCATACACTTTTTCTCTCTTTCTAATTTCTAATTTTAACAATAGGAATAACAATTTATCTAGCAGGCCTAGCTCACATTATTAGTGTGAAAAATTTGAGGCTAAGCCTAACCCTAATTAAGGTGGTGACTGGGCTCATTTCTTTTGAGTGAAAAATTGAAACAGCCCTATATGTTGTGTATAAATTAAAGCATTTATGTCTTGATCAACACAACTAATAGAATGTACCCTTCTCATGCTGAACATGATATATTGGTACCGAAACCATCCTATGTTTCACATCTGGATAGCCATTTACCATTAAATCCAAAACTTTCCACCAATAGTGCTCCACAGCTTCTGAATTATTCCAGACTTAACTGTGCTGTATCATTGAGCAAAGTAACACCACCAGACACCAGTAGCCTTTGGACTAGTTCACGACCCTACGCACGAGGTCTTGTCCACTTGAGGGGATAAGTTGTGTGTTTGTAATATGCTTGGAATACTGGTTCACTACATCTCTTCGAATACTTACACTGAATAGATTTGTATATTGTAACAAGTTTCTCCACATGCTCCAGGTAAAGGGAGGATTTGAGAACAACAACAGGTTATGGCATACACTTAAAATAGTAAAATACCTAGCCAACAATCTTAGCACACATAACAGAGTGATAGAATTGGAACGTACTGCTGACTTGTTAGCACACAATCTAGTTACGTGGTTATTCCCGGTTATGTGCCTACATAGTCATATATAACTAGGCTCATTGTTATAAAAAATGTGGTACAAGATATAACTATATAAGCATCCACACTAGAAAACAAAATAAAAAACAAGGTAGAGAATTTAGAGTAACAAGTTATACTCCCTCCATCCCTTAAGACTTTGTCAACTTTCTTTTTTTGGTTGTCCCACTAACTTTGTCACTTTCCCTTTTAAGTAAAGAATTGTGGTTCCGGTTAATTCTCTCTCCTCTGCACAAAACTCAACCACACAGTTTTTACTTTATTAATCTCCGTGCCGGTCAAATTTGGCGAAGTTTTAAGGAATTGAGGGAGTATGAATTAACAAAGACAAATTTCTAGTAAATTAATATTTCAAGACATATGCCTCTATGTGTTGAAAAAGACCAAGTACGAGAATAGAAATCAAAGAAGAAGAAAAGTTATGTAGAAAATGTTACATTATTTTTTCTGATTAAATTGATGTACATATTTATGTAGAAAATTCCTTGGTGACAGCCTGGCTTCCCAATTCAATGGATGCATCAATTGCCAAACCTCACATGTTCATGAAAACTGCAAAGGAGGTATGGGATTCAATTAAGGAAACTTACTCAGATCTTGAGAACTCTTCTCAGATTTTTGAATTAAAAACCAAGTTGTGGCAGTCCAAACAAGGAAATAGAGATGTCATCTCTTACTATAATGAGATGGTATCCCTATGGCAAGAGTTGGATCATGCTTTGATGATGAGAAGTGGGAGAGTGCCAAGGATCTAGCAAGATACAAAAAAAGGGAGGAAAATGATAGGGTCTATATGTTCCTAGCAGGAATTAATAGAGACCTAGATGAAGTTAAGGGAAGAATACTTGGAAAAAAAACTCAACCCTCCATCAGGGGGGTATTTTCTGAAATCAGACTGGAAGACAGTAGGAAGAAAGTTATGTACAACACTCCAGTACTTAATGAGGAATCTGGGGACTCTTCAGCAATGGTGGCTAGGAGTGATGACAAGAAAAAACCCTTGTGTGATCACTGCAAGAAGTTTATGGCACACTAGGGAAACTTGTTGGAAAATTCATGGCAAACCACCAGGAGCAGGAAAGAAAAAAAAGTGAGAAGGCCCTACAAACAACTGTGACTGAGACTCAACAAGAACCACAAGTCAAGTTCAATCAGCCTTCATTCACTCAGGAGCAGATAGAGCAACTTCTTACCCTCCTACATTCCCAGAAAACCCAAAATTCCCAGAAAGAATCCAAACCAGAATCTTCCTTTTGTTCTTATGCCCAAAATGGTACCTACTCATCATTTTTTGTTCTGGGAAATCTAAAAACTCCTGGGTTATTGACCTCTATTTCAAATCTTTTTTCTTCATATAAACCTAGTGCAGGAGATAAAAAGGTTAAGGTTGCAGATGGTTCTTTATCAGCCATTGCAGGGATGGGAAATATTAGTATTTCCTCATCTCTGAATCTATCCAAAGTCCTTCATGTGCCTAATCTATCCTGCAATCTTGCTTCAATTAGTCAAATAACTAAAGATCTACATTGTTGTGTTATTTTTTATCCTTCTTATTGCGGCACTGGGGTAAATGAAAATGATGAAATGATTGCATTTTTCAGGACCTGACATCGGGGAAGATGATTGGCAGTGCTAAGGAGGAGGATGGACTCTATATCTTTGATGGAGAAACTCAATCAAATAAAAGAGGTCCAAGAAATGCGTTTGCAAACTATTTCTTTTTCAAATAATAAAGATTTGTATTTACTTCATTATAGACTAGGACACTCTAGCTTCTATTATCTAAAAAGGATGTTTCCTCGATTATTTCTGAATAAAGATGCTTCTTTGTTTAATTGTAATATGTGTGCACTTGCAAAACATCACAGAAACACTTATCTACCCCAAAGTTATAAACTTATAACACCCCGATTTTATGAGCTAGTTACTTACGTTATTTTTATTCCAGTTAAGTTTCTTTTATGATTAATGTGATTTATTGTTTTATCGTGTTTTGTTTGTGGCAGATAACATTGATGGTAAGCTTTAATACTCAAAGTGAATAAACAAATGGTATTTTAGGTTTTATCAGTATAGTATTCAAAAGGAGAATATAATTTCAGTTGGGCCAGAAGCAAAATTTTTTAGAAGGCTTAGAGAGCCAATGAGTTATTTTAGCCCAAGCCGCTCTCTTAAAGATGATTGCCGCTGCTCTGCACTCTTTCTCCCTACACGAACGTTTTCTCACTTAAGACATGAAAAGCCTGGTATGTCAAATTTTACTTCCATAGCATGAATTTTTGTAAAGATATTCTTTGTTAATCCCATTAATCCTTTAAAGGTTTATAAAGTTTGATTTCATAAATTGTAATATGAATTCGGATATGCATATATTTACAATGAATTTGTTAACCATAGATATTGGATGGTAGTTGTTTGAAAATCAATTAAGCTATGTAGTTAATCCTATTTAAAAATAGAGGGCTTCACCATTGCTTTTTTTAGAATAGTCTTAAATTGGAATGCATGAGAGTTTGATGTCAGATTGAGATTTGTGGTGTAGGCTATCCCAGATAGTTCTTAGACAAAAAATTGGTTATCTAGCAGATAAACGATTTCGATTTTTTGAAAAAGGGAGCGCTGTTTTGTGTGTGTGACCATAAGAAAAGTTCCGGTTAATTTATGTCATTTATGTATGAAATTACTCCTAATTTTGGTGAGCTGCTGCAATAAGATCCTCAGGTTAAAATTAAAGATTCTATTTTTCTTTAGCAGCAAGAAAATCTGAGTTTTATGTTTTGTTTGTCCAGTTTAATTTAAGATCTAACCAACTCCAATTATGTTGTTCAATTTAACTAAAGATTTAAGAGAAGAGCTTACCAGAAGACGTTATCAAGGTGTCACACTTATTTGAGTATTTTGAGTTCAGCTGTTAACAGGTAAGTTCACTATCACCTGTACATGTTTGTTCAACCAAATGAAAGAAAGAAGTCTGGTTGATTTTTAGTAGATGATTTTAGACTATTTGCTATTATGTGAGCTTGGTGAATTATTCGATGAGTTATTGTAATTGTTGTATTAAGTTATGTTTATTATCTGGCATAGTCAAGATTTTTGTCAGTACATTATTTCAAGATTTTAATGATGTTTTTACCCAAACGTCACCATAAAAAGAACTAATATTTAAAGTGAAAGATCAGGTGATATGTACTCGGGAACAAGTTCCCTCAGATTATCAGTTTATCAGTTTCAGAGAGTCCGATATGTTTAGTGGGTCGCTCCCCCGAGCTGTCGGATTGGCGCCTTTGA